AAAAGAAGAATTTGCAAGCCTTAGACGAATTACCGTTTTCTGCCTTAATTTACATTACAGAAAATACAGTTATAATATATTTTCATGAGTTCATTCAAAGAAATGTCATCATTGGCTTTGATAGTATCACCAATGCTTATCATCTCTAAGCCCCAGCAACAAAGCTAACGTTTGACATTAATAAAGAAATAAACTCTATTCGGAATGAAGTCTTAGATTCGCCAAATATTTTTCATATCATATTGTCAAGCTTTATTAGCTGAAAGCATGACTATTCTATGAATGTGACTGGCACAGAGAACACCAATTAAATGAGGAACAAATCCATCCTCTTCCTTTTTTATTTTACTTTCTCTCTGGTTTTCAACACTTCTACAGTATCCATTGAGAAACATTTATTTTTTATTTTATTCAAAATGTTTCTAACATATTTTTACTACAAAACAATAATGAGATATTGAAAAGAATATTTATATTCTCTATCATTCTTAGCAACTGAAATTTCCATCGTTTACCCTTGTCAAACCTTGAAAGCATCCTTACAGTTAAATTGGAGATTAGTAACAGCAAGGCACTCTTGACCATTTATTTCCTAATAAACGATCACCGAAAAGATATCTACTCATTCATTTAGTTGTCTTATCTGTCATTTCTGTCCAATCTAAGAGAGCTCTAAATATTTTCCCGAAAAAAAACATTTCCCTTTCAAAGTATTATATGATAGAGGACTTATGATTTTCAACAAGCTATAAAGAATCCTGTGTTTAATTAGAAAGTAAATAAAGCATGAATGATGGAATCAGCTCCGGGCATTAAAATGAAATACTTCTATTTTTTTTTTTTTTTTGATAAATGATTCATTGTAGAGGGCAGGGACGAAATTATTCATCAAAAAAATGAACAAAATTGTCACTTCATGGGTCGAACCTACCGCCAACCTTATGACTGTAAATGAAAGAACAACTAAATGGTAATCTCCCTTCTCTGTATAATATAAATCCAAATTTATTCGAATGTTTGCATTATTAGTGTTTCATCCTAATTTGTAAGTATGTGTCTAATGCAAAATACAATGGGGAGGCTTTTAATTTAATTTTAATTAATTATAAACAGGCTGGCTCGACGTCAGGAATCATCAGTACCAGAAATCGATTGTATCGCTGAAACAAAAGGTAGATTTGGAGCTGGGATTTTGTATGGTCGTAAAAATCTGGTTCGTGCCTATTACGAAATGGGAGATTCAGCTTTCGATTGTATGTCTTAATTTGAATTTTTTTACTTTAAATTTTGCTGTTTGGCAGATTTGAAGGATAGTTCTGAGGTGCTTCCTTCGGTTTTTAAAAAACATTCTACGAACTGAGTTAATCTTCAATTCTTCGTTGAAATTTAGCGAAAGTCGATGTTTTGCTTCGTGCATTTAAACTAAACTTTGAAATGTGATTGTATTCCTGGAACCGTTGAAACAAATTATTGTATAAATTATTATTATAAAATAAATTATTACAATACCATTGGTGCAAACTTCATAATTAAGTTTCACAGGAAATGTGTATATCAGTGAACGTATTAAATGTGAAAGAAAAGTTTACTGACGGTTTGTCTTTCACGTGGTAGACTTTAACGCTCCTCCCTCAATTTAAATGATAAATGTAATGCTGTAGCACCATCGATATTGAAATTTATAACGTGTAAACTTAACATTATTTTTATCGAGTGATTTCATTACAGGTAAAGACATATGGTGCAAGGAAGAGCTCAGGCACAATGGTGGGAAAAGTAAGC